TCCCTGCCCCAGGAGAGGTACCTGGACGTTTCCACCAAGACTGAGCATTTTATCAACCCATGGAATTTGTGTTTCCTGCACTTCCCTCACCCCAGATAGATCATCACAGTGGAATTGGAACCTCCCAGTCTTGTTGGAAGATCCATGGGTGGTGGGATCCTTCTGCTCTTACCCTTTCCTTCCCCTACTTTTCCTTTAGGCATTTTTGAAATGTTATTTTTATGCTGTTATATTGCCATATTACAGTAGACAATAACCAAAACAGCTTCACTGCAACCAAATTGTTATAAAATAAACCTTATATATATATATGTATGTATGTATCAATCCCAATTATTAATTTTCTCACTCTAATCAGGCCCCAAAGATCGTTTAACAAGGACCTGGGCTGTCCTCCTTTAGCAGTCAGGATGGGCACATGACTTGACACTCGAGGTTCATGTGGCAGCAGATCATTTTGGGTGCAGTTCCCTTTATGCTTTTTCAGAAATATGATGCACATGGATGCATATGGTCCTGATTGGCTGAATTTAGTTACCACCTGGCTTACTGGCCAATAGTGGTCTGTGTCCATAACTGTCTAGATTAGATTCCCCAGCACCCTAGACTGGTTGAGGTATTAGGGTTACCTATAACTCTGAGACCTCCAGGCAAGCTGTTAACCACCACAGGTTCCCCTTTCTGTTTTTAAAGACAAGGCAATGTTTGTCATCTCCTGCAGGGCCCTTTGCAAAAAGGATGATAAACACTGCACTATGTCCAAAATAATTGATAAAAATAATAAGCCTAGGTTGGTGAGGCTCTGCATCCAGCTTGACAAGTCTAGCCTTAGCAGTTGTTGTCTATTCCACATACCTTCAAAAAGGATTTTTCAAGCATGTCTGAGAGCCATCAAGCATGGCGTCTCAGGGTGGTATGCCACACACTATTCACATTCATAACCCAATTACGCAAACGAAGAAAATTGCATTTAACTTTCTTACAAACTGTTAAAGTTTAAAAACTATCATGCCTCTGCTTTTGATCTATCCCAAGTGGGTTAGACTTACAGGGGCAGTTTGCTTTTACATGACCTTGTTGCCCACAGCCATAACATTGGTGTGTTACCTTCAGTTGCAATGCAAGATGTCCCCAGAAGCATTCTATGGTATTCTGTCACCATCTGTTAAAACCAGGCGGGGCAGTGTTCTTTATCTCTTCCATGACTCACCCTCCCTTGGGGAGATATCTTCTGTCAATGGGCCATTGAGTGTCACTGCAGGACTGATAAGATTACATCATCCCATTGTGAGATGCCCCACCCAGTGGAAGAAGCCAAGCATTCCTACCTGGATATAATCTGAGATTTCAAACACCACAGGCAGCCTTTTCCACTGGATTCCCAGAGGAAGACCAGACCCTTCTACTTCACCACTTGATCTTCAGAGGAAAACCACAGCCTTTTAAAGGATCACTGCTTCAACAGAACCACACCTGTCACTTGAGGAAGACTGCAGACACCACTTAGTCGGACTGCTACCAACACCCTGACCCCAGTGTGTCAAGTCAAATTCTGACTCTGTCAGTGGGGTTTTGTTTTGGTACTACTGCATTTTACTTTACTTTTCCTATTAAATTGTAGGGATTTTTAAAATTTATACATACCAGTGAAGAACTGCTATATCTATTCTCATATCTTTGCCTGAGAGCCCCTTAAATTCTAAACTGTAACAATTGTAGAGAGGGGGTTTACATTTTCCATTTCAAGGGAGACTCCTTCCTTCATTAGCAGACACTTGTCTTTCAAACCAAGACAGAATCAGCTAACAAAGCAATA